TAGGACACAGTAAGTATTAGTTCCTGTGTGTTTTTCTGTATTCACATGCATGCAAATGTATGTGTATATATGTATGTTTATGTGTGTTTACACCGAACTGTTTCTCCCATTTTTGGAAGTCTCTCACACATTTACTTCTGAAGTATATTTCATTTGCTTTATACAAAAGAGCCTATTCCTAGTTTCTGCCTAATGATAAAATATGTGTAGTGTATTTATGAGGCAATTGAGAGCATGCATCCGACCATCCATTTGGGAAAAGGGTCCCAATGTGTATCAGAGGAACAGAGACAAACCTCTGACCTCTGACGTAATCTTCATTACAATGCTTCTCAGATGAAATTCCTATGCTTCAGGAGCTGATTGCCACAGTAACCCTGCAGCCAATTGAACATAATTCAGGCTGTAATTTGAAAATTTCATGCAGGAAGCAAAAGTCAGTTTTCACTGAGACACTGTAGAGTAAACACAAGACAAGAGCTTGGTGTCTGCCCTATGCATGAAGCATGGAATCAGGTGGTGTGGCTTTTGAAATCTTCCCTAGTCAATTTTATTGATTAAACCTCAAACTATCTAACCTGGTGTGTGTTGCTTGGATGTCTAAAATCAGCCTTTGAACAAAATGAGAAAACGATATCCAAATAGGGAGTAGAAAACTTCAAAATACTATTGTATTTGAACTATAGTTTCTAAAAATCAAGGGCACAGTCTCAGAAGGCTTTAGGGTCACATGCGCTAAATCCTATCACTTGACTTTGAGGTGCCAGGTTTGACTCTCTGGCCCTTCACTAATCTAGATGGACATGAGGATCTGCTCTCTGAATAAGAGGGGGCAGAGATCTTCTCTCAGGAGCAGCCCTTAGATTCTCCTGGGTGGGTTACAACAGTTCCTGGACTGCTGGTACAGGTACATTTTTTTTTCCATCCTCATCATTTATCCTTTCATATCATCTCCATTCAAGCAAAGCTGTCCTTCAAAATAACCCTCATTCTGCCACTGGGAAACAGTGTGGGGTTGCCGAAATAACACGAACTTTAGTGTTGAAGAAAACTAGATCTATTTGAGTCCATGTTTTGCTTTTTATTATCTGGGTGATAAGGGGAAAGTTATGTAGCCGCTTTCTGCCTCAATTTTCTTATCTGTAAATGAAGATAATATTATCTTACAATGTTGTTAAGAGGACTAGGTGAGATAAAACATGGGAAAGTGTTTGGCACATAATGGATATTTAAATGTTAATTCAGAGAGAGACAGAAACAGACGGCAGGAGTATTAACTGGCTTTTGGAAAAAGTGGAACTTCTGGAAAAATACAGATGGGTGTCTGACTTGTTAATAAAATTTTAATTTGACTGAGATCAATGAAAAGCCCCATGTGTTGAGTGCAGATACATACTCATCAGCAATCCCAAGGAAAATCCATCAGCGTTATTTCCTTTCATTAAAGAGCAATATCAATATTGAACAACTCTCCTAACTGACCTGTGGTTTGCTTTCATGCATTAAATTTCTGTTCTGCACATAGGGCATAAATCTTCAAATTGCCTTTAGTTCATAATTCATTATATCACATTAGAAACTAAGCATGAACACAGGGTCCTCAGCAAGGAAAAAGTACCACTTAAGAAGCACTTCTTCTATTGCCTTATCCCCTCAAGCTGCCTGAGCTTCACAGATGACCTGTGCAAGGGCTAAGGGAATATCCTCACTCATCCCAGATAGGTCAACCTCTCCAACATGAAATCAAACCATCTGCATGGCAAGGTCAAGGAGCAGTCCCTTCACTGAGGACCAGAAATGAATAGCATACCAACTAATGAAAAGAGAATATTAGGCCTGATGACACAAGAAGGGCTGGGAAAATGCCAGGGCAAACATCTGCTTAATAAAGATAGTTGAAGACATGCTAATCATCTTGTTAGCAGTTGTCAAAACATTGAAGATATTCCCTTTAAAGGCAATAGCAATATATTCTACCTTCTAAACTTGGAAGCACTCAATAAATAAATGTATAACACTGGATGGCCAGAAGCGTGCACAGTTTGCCTCCAATTGCTGTACCTTACCATGTTTTTTGGAAAGTTCTCCTATGAGGTTCTCAGATTTAATCTGCAAAATGCATTATTAATTAAAGATTTTCTAACCGGTTTATTACCAGATAATTGAATGAATGAATGGCATAGAAAGACACTTAACATCTTGCAAGTTTGAGGGCCTTACAGCTAAAGCTGTGTCTTTACTGATCTGTGATTCAGACTGTCTTCATTATTATACATTATTTTATTCCTCCTGTCTGAATAGGATCCTTCCTTTGCACATTTCCTTCTCAGTATCAAGGCAAAATTCTTGCCTCCAAGTGAGGTACCCAACTAAAGCACTCTGAACAACAGTGTTGGAAATAGTTAACAATGTACCTCAAGTCCTGTCCCCTTCATGTGTCAACAGGATGGGACGGAATCCAACCTCCATAATAGGTGAGAGATGGTGACTACCCACGTGAGATACGATTCTTCCTCCTCCTCAGTTTTATGGACAGAAAGTGACACTGGTTTTTCTCGGTTACCATTTACATTAAGGGTTTGGTTTGCTTCATTCTGAGAAAGAACTAATTTTTTTTCTTTGAAAGTCTTGTCCTTTCATATGCAATAATAGTGTTTTTCCATTTCTTGTAACAAGAAATCTTTCCTTTCATCATTGGCATTGGTATCAAAGGATCACAGTGGAATGCTCTTCCAAATTACAGTGACATTGCAGGAGTAAACTAGACGGGAAGTAAATATAGAATTCTGCTTTATGTAAAGGTTAAATACTTTCTCAAACCTCCATTTTATTTTCCTTTTTCATTCAGGTAGATTACTAGCAGGAGGAGAATATTAAACAGTATAAAATATAATTTGCAGAATAATGTAAAAACAACTTTGTTAAGATTATTTAATGATATATATTTACACACACAATTATTTAATTCCAGAGGCTACCCAATTTGATTACTTTAGATCTGTATGAAAAAACGGAGAGCTGACTGCCTCTGGATCAGCAAGTGAAGCAGTGACCAGGAGTATACCAACCCTAGGCCTTTCCATGTAACTGAATTTTCTTCCCATACATGTTAAGCTCATAGCAAACCAAACAAGGTAAAAGAGATTAGTAACTGAGGACCGATAAGATGCAAGTCCAGATGGAAAATCCTGGTACAAGCGCTGCCAGTACCCCTGCATTGCTGATTGATCTGATCCTCCCTTTTTTGTGAGCCCACACACCGAGCCTTAGATGTCATCTCAACCCATGGCTTCAGGTGGCCATTCCCACTGATTATAGTTCACAGCTCACAATGTAAAGCATATTTTCTATTTCTGGTTTAGCAATTAAGTATATGGGGTTCAGAAAGGGATTGACCAATGTTCAAATTCCAATTCTAACACTGACTAACTGTATGACCTTACATAAGTGACTTAATTTTTCTGAGCCTGAATTCTTCTATAAAACAGAGATAACTCTATTTTTCTCCCAGGTTGTTAGACAGTATGTGTAAAGTGCTTAGCACAGTGCTCAGCACATTGTAAGTTCTCAATCAGTGTTATCAATCCAGTGGTCCAATAGAATCAATAACTTTTCTGTATTTTCCATTTTTCAACATCCAACATGTGGGGGGGTAGTTTTATAGAGCTATCTGATAGTGTCTTAGGCCGTGGTGCTAGATTCTATATTAAAGGTAAGTATAAACTGGTCTAGGAGAGACCTGTCTTAGTCTGTTCAGGCTACAGAATACCATAGACTAGGTGGCTGGTAAACAACAGAAATTTCTTTCTCACAGTTCTGGAGAGTAGGAAGGACATCATGAAGGCACCAATAAATCTGGTGTCTGGTAAACCCCACTTCCTTGTTCATAGACAGCGTCTTCTCAGTGTCCTCACATGGTGGAAAGGGTTGAGGGAGCTTTCTGGGATCCCTTTTATAAGGGCACTAAATCCATTCATTAGGACCCTCATGACCTAAACACCTCTCAAAGGCTCTGTCTCCAAAGGCCATTGTATTGAGGGTCAGGATTTAACATGTAAATTTTGCAGTAATGGAAACATTCTCTATAGCAAGACCCCATTTAGACATAAATCTAGGTATTGTAATCTGTTTGATCCATTTTCAGCCAGGTGCTCAGTGTCCCTTCAAACATCTGGAATTGCAAGTTCAGCTAAAGATGGCTCATTTAGAGTCTAAAGAAGGTGGAAAGTTTTTAGATTTCAGGATAGAATCACTGTCAAAGTTGATTCTGGAGCTGAAGTATTCTTACATTTCATCCCAGGAGCAAAGCCTGCAAAGAACAAAAAGAACCCATACAGTATAAGCAAGTCCGAGAGGCTCTTTTATTGGAAGTCCTTTCCAGGGATACCATTCAGCAAGAGGGAGCTAAGGGCAGTCAAGCACACACTCAGCTAAACCAAAAGTGATATTTTCACTGAAGCCTACTGGGGCTTGTTTGCAGAGCCAGAATCTGGGATAAACAGCTGGCCACATCTCTCAATGCCTAGCCTCAGCAGTTACTCAATATGAGATCTGCTTCTTTCCTATTAAAAATCAAAACAGTTGCAGTCACTCTTTGACATGAATTATTTCTTGTTTTCTCTTCTGTTTTGTTTTTTCTGGAAAACACTGTGGCAATGTGAGGTTGTCAGACAGCACTGGATAGTGACATATTCAGGCTCCCATGTGATGGGGGAGAATCGTTTAGAGATCACTTTAAATATTTCACTAACACAGCAGTAAATATTTAAAACACGTATAGTGATAGTGCTGCTGTTTAGTACACTCACACTCCTTTTTTATTTCCAATAAAACTTGTCTTCTGAGGATATGCAGTCAAGAGCTCTCCCTAAAATATTATCATTTGTAATAGATGCTTCTGAATAGATTATTTTTATTTATACTAGTAGTCAGGGAGTCGTGGTAACCTGGGGAAGTGCAAAAAGCAAAAAGTAATTTTCTTTTGAAGCAATAAGGATAAGCCCCCCCTCGCTCCCCCCCATACACATATACTCTTCAGTGCCCTTCGAGCTCTCTATCACATGAAGTAATTAATTAGTCATCCAAAAAGATGTGAATATTCCCAGCAGTGGAAACCTTCTTGGTTGTCTGGGAGGTTTAATTCTCAGATACGTCCCATTAGGAGTTACCCTGAAATGCCTCCTCTTGTCTTCATCTCTGTGGTCTGTGATTATGAGTATCTTTTCTCTTTTCTGGTCTTCCACTCTTTGAATAAAATGTAGACAAAAGTCCAAATGTTAGCATGTTGCCTAGAGTCTATTTTCATGAATATTGCATAATTATCGAGAGATAGCATCTTATGAATTTTCAGTTGTTTGCTTTCAATTTTTTTTTTCCATTTACGTAAAAAAAGTCAACTGGAACAGAAGTCTTTGTTGCTGCCTTAGTGGAATCTTCTCACAGGCTTGCTCACAGAGATTTATGTACTTAGAAACAAACTACGATTTAAAAAAATACACAGAAGGTTCTGCAAAATATCATGGGAGTGGTCCAGCTCATTGTGTATTCTTATCACACAAATTATCCTTTTTCATCAAGGCTGACTCCTGGGCTAGCATCTACTCAACTGGAAACTCTATGAAGAATGTAACATTTATTTTGTGCCTTCTTATAACTTAATGAATCACCTTCCTAAAACTTAATTTTTAAAAAAAAATGAAAGTGAGATTTCTGAGCAGTCCCTGTTTAGAAATATTAGGCCACATAGTGCAGTGGACAAAAGTAGAGATGATGGAACCAGACTTATTACTAGACTGTGACATTGGGCACATTTTTTAAGGGCTCTGAAAATCAATTGCCTATCTATAAAACAAGGACAATAGCAGTACCTCCTTCACAGACTTGTGAGAAGTAAATGGTATGATATATAGAAAAAAATCTAGCATGATGCCTGGCATATAAATCATGGTTATTTTTTAATTATTAAGCAGTTTGCTTAATCCAGGCCATTTGGTCTCAAAAACTATAATATAGAAGGAAAAGTAAGCTCTGAACATGCCTAAGTAGAAAGAAATAATTTGATTTAGTAGTAACATAACAATTCTGTCACCCAGTAAAGAAGAAATGACTCTGGTTCAAAACTGGAAAAGAATTTAATGCCTTATGAGAACAACTCTACTTTCCTTCCCAAAAGGCTAACTTTCAGGCAGACATTTGAGGATGCTGTCCTGTGTGTGGAGGCCTAGGACCTATAAGAGTAACACTCAAACCCAGATACCAGCTTTACCTGCTCTAACAAGAGGGCAGCGACACAGGCCATGGATGAGGAAAGGAAAGCACCTCCATGTGCTGTTTTATTTAATTGCTGAAGCCATCCCTTCATTTACTTCCATCCTATGTAGGGACAGATTCACATGTGGCAATTTTACAGCCTGTGGAAAGCTAATAATAATTCAGGTAAAGTAAATGGTTTTGTTTTCTCAAGGGCATTGTAGATCAATCAAATATGTCCAGTTCTGTTGGAATAATACACTCTTTTACAGAATTAGAGAGACTATAAAACCCACATCCTTTGTACAACAGAATTGGATTAAAGACAAGCAATTAATCTCCTCTGCATTTTCTATTCAGGGGCATAAGACATAAGACATAAGTATTGTACAATGTTTAATTTTAAAATTGTATCCCATTTCCTGTATAAGAGACCTCCATCCCAACTAAATCTTAAATGTCATTGAAATGTCATAAATGTGCAACCAATCTATCAAAGCCAGGTTTTAATTACCTTTTACACTAACTGTGCACTTAAGAAACGATTTCAGATCTTGTCCCATTTGACCCAGTGAAGTAAGTAAGACAGTTATTAATGTTCTCATTTGAGAGGTAAGGAAACTGAGAGACAAAAAGTTAAGGATCTTACCCAGAGATACCCAGCAGGTGGCAGGGCCAGATTAAATGCAAGTCTCCTAATTCACAGTCCCAATAATAGCAGCCATAGTAATGCCTTTTATCAATGTTATATCCCTCATTTGGAAAACTCTCCATTTTGGTATTGGGCAAGCGAACAAAGCACTTCAGGCAATATTAAACCACCAGAAATCTCTCTTGTAACAGGTAGATGTCTGCCTGTGTGTCTACCTGATAACTAAGATATAGTTAACTACTTACGATAACTACCACAAAGGTTCTGATTTGGCCAATTCTATTCTGGGTTTTGATTAAGCAAGCTTTGGGTAAAACCCACATATCTGTACTTTATAATATACATTTAATATATATACTTATATAGTAATACATTTACAATGTATATTCATTTCAATATTTAAATATTCTTAAGTTATATATGGTTCAAAATTCAAAAGACACATAATTACATTTAAGTTTTCTGTTCCACCTCTGACTCCCAACAGAGGCAAGATAAAATTCACAAAAAGAGGAAGCAACTACTCAACTGCTTCCTCTTTTTGTGAATTTTATCTTGTCTTGTCTTCAATATTCCTGCCTGAAAGTCAGCCTTTGGGGAAGGAAAATACACTTCTTCTCAGAAGACATTAAATTTTTCCACAGTTTTGAAGCAGAGTGATTTATCTTCTTGGCAACAGAATTGTTATGTTCCCACTAAGTCAAGTAAACAATATTATCTTTGTCTTCTTCCAAAGCTATTTTATTCACATACAGGCAAAGATGTGTTTAAGTATTTTTTCATATTTTACATAAATGTGGATCTTCATTGTAAACTCTCTACAGATAATTCTACAGTCAGTCTTCAAATGATCAGTCAACTCCTCCAGAAAGAACATTCGCTGTTTTAGAACACAGGAGTTCATCAGACACACCTGCATGCTTATTAAAACACAGATTTGGGGGGCCTCATACTTTGAGAACCCTAATCTAAGGCAACATTTATCAAGTTCTTCACTAATGTCTTAAATTAATTGCTGACCTAAAATATATTAGTGGCCATAGAAACAGCATCATGTGGTGCTTACTAAGTAGCAGACACTGCTCTACACACTTTACATATGTTAAATTATTTAAGCCTGCAACAATTTTACGAAGTAGGGATTGTTATTATCCCATTTTACAAAAATAAAATTGAAGCAGACAGGTTAAGTAACTTCCCCATTTTAATTCATTCAGGTGGTAAGTGCTAGGACCAGCCTGATTCCAAACCCATGGGCTTACCCATGAGTCTGTACCAGCTTCCTGACCTCAAGATGAGGCCTAATAGATACTTGCTTCCATATAATCAGCACCAAGTTTGATTAAGAACCACTTTTCTTTACTTCACAGCTATCAAATGTGAAAACAGCACAAAAGACAACTACCTACTTTTTTATAAAGAAGACATCTTAAGTCACTACAATTTGTGTCAGATTTCACCTATAATGAATTTAGGAAATTTTCAGTGCACTTGTAGCCTTTCAGAAACAGTTTTATGAAATGAGACATAACAGTGTTTGGAACCCAATAACATGTCTTTTATTTTCTACTTTAATTTTTATTTTTTATTATACTTTAAGTTCTAGGATGCATGTGCAGAATGTGCAGGTGTGTTACATAGATATAGACATGCCATGGTGGTTTGCTGCATCTGTCCCCCGTCATCTACATTTGGTATTTCTTCAAGTGTTATTTATCCCTACTCCCCGACTCCCTGCAGTCTCTTCCCTAGTCCCCCTACCCCTCAGCAAGCCCCAGTGTGTGATGTTCCCCTCCCTGTGTCCATGTGTTCACATTGTTCAACACCAACTTATGAGTGAGAACATTCAGTGTTTGGTTTTCTGTTCTTGTGTCAGCTTGCTGAGAATGATGGTTTCCAGATTCATTCATGTCCCTGTAAAGGACATAAACTCATCCTTTTTTATGGCTGCATAGTATTTCAAGGTATATATGTGCCACATTTTCTTTATCCAGTCTATCACTGATGGGCATTTGGGTTGGTTCCAAGTCTTAGCTATCATGAACAGTGCTGCAATGAACATATGTGTGCGTGTTTCTTTATAATAGAATGATTTATAATCCTTTGGGTATATACTCAGTAATGGGATTGCTGGGTCAAATGGTATTTCTATTTCTAGATCCTTGAGGAATCACCACAGTGTTTCCACAGTGGTTGAACTAACTTATACTCCCACCAACAGTGTAAAAGTGTTCCTATTTCTCCACATCCTCTCTAGCATCTGTTGTCTCCTGATTTTTTAGTGATTGCCATTCTAACTGGCATGAGATGGTATCTCAATGTAGTTTTGATTTGCATTTCTCTAATGACCAGTGATGATGAGCTTTTTTTCATGTTTGTTGACTGCATAAATGTATTCTTTTGAGAAGTGTCTATTCATATACTTTGTGCACATTTTGATGGGGTTTTTTTCTTGTAAATTTGTTTCTTTCTAGATTCTGGATATTAGCCCTTTATCAGATGGGTCGATTGCAAAAATTTTTCCCATTATGTTGGTTACTGGTTCTTTCTAATGATAGCTTCTTTTGCTGTGCAGAAGCTCTTTAATTTAATTAGATCTCATTTGTCTATCTTGGCTTTTGTTGCCATTGCTTTTGGTATTTTAGTCATGAAGTCCTTGCCCATCCTATGTCCTGAATTGTATTGCCTAGGTTTTCTTCTAGGGTTTTTATGGTGTTAGGTCTTAGGTTTAAATCTTTAATCCATCTGGATTTAATTTTATAAGGAAGGGATCCAGTTTCAGCTTTCTGTATACAGCTAGCCAGGTTTCCCAACACCATTTATTAAATAGGGAATCCCTTCCCCTTTACTTGCTTTGTCAGGTTTGTCAAAGATCAGATGGTTGTAAACGTGTGGCATTACTTCTGAGGCCTCTGTTCTGCTCCATTGGTCTATATCTCTATTTTGGTACCAGTACCATGCTGATTTGATTACTGTACCCTTGTAGTATAGTTTGAAGTCAGGTAGCGTGAAGCCTCCAACTTTGTATTTTTTTGCTTAGGATTGTCTCAGCTATGCAGACTCTTTTGTAGTTCCATATGAAGTTTAAGGTGGTTTTTTCCCAATTCTGTGAAGAAAGTCCATGATAGCTTGATGGGGAAAGCATTTAATCTATAAATTACTTTCGGCAGTATGGCCATTTTCACAATATTGATTCTTCCTAACCATGAGCATGAAATGTTTTTCCATCTGTTTGTGTCCTCTCATTTCCTTGAGCAGTGGTTTGTAGTTGGTTTTTTAAAAATACAATGCATTTATTTGGTCACATAAAATTTATGTACAAAATTATATACAGTATATAAAA